GAGGGAGGGAAAGAGAGAGAGAGGGAGGGAGAGAGAGAGAGAGAGAGAGAGAGAGAGAGAGAGAGAGAGAGAGAGAGAGAGAGAGAGAGAGGAGGGGGGGATTCCTATTCATTTGTTTAGTTTCTCTTAATTTACTAGACTAAGATCCCACTAGTTTTGGATATTTGACTGCAGTGATATATTCGTGAAAAATATTATATGCAACGTTTTCTTGGATTTTTTTCCCCTAAGAGGCAGTATACCTGACGAGCTATATGGATTTCTCTTAAGCCAAAAATAATAATCAAATTTTGATTTTGTATGTGGTGACCGTGACGAATGATGTTTTTGTTGTGTCTCTTCACCGAATTTGCATAAAGCACTTTTTTTTCAAAAGAATGCATTTAAAATTATTATTAAAGTGTATTTCAAATGTTTTGATCATTTAATGTCGAAATAAATTATTTGATATTGAATTACGGTGTTATCATTGTAAGAAAGTATAGTCCAAATGTCCCGTCAGCTATCGTCAATGACTTGTATGACGTGTAAGCAGCTGTGTTTTATTTGGGTAAAGTTTGAACTGAATTTTATTAGGGCTCCTCAAACCAATGAGGTCTTTGTTAGAAAGACTTCATGCGTAGAATTCAGCGTAGATATCCAAAGCAGGGCTAATTTAAGCTTTTGCTGTTAAATAACTTTTAAAGAAGTAAGTTGCCCTGTAAAGATTGATGATCTTGGAGTTACAGCTTAAGACACTTTGTTGTAAGATCAGAACAATAGATCTATTTATACATTGTCCTGGTACTTGTTGCAACAAACTAATGGTTGAATTCTCATATGGGCCACATGGTTTTTGTCAGCTGCCTTACCAGGATAGGGCATTTAACATGCGTCACCAGATAGAAGTAGCGCACATAATGTAGGATTTTTTAACTATGCGAGGAGAGTGGGAACGGGATAATAATATGTGAATAAAGAGTGGGCAAAACATAGAGACAAGGGGAAGGGGGCGGCAAGAAGTCATGCGAGAGAGGGAGACCGAGAAAATCCAGGCGAAAAGGACAGAGAGTAAGAGAGAGAGGGGGGGGGGGAGATGGGTTGAGAGAAAGAAAAGGAGAGAGAGAAAGGGAGAGGAGAAGAAAGAGAATGAGAGATTGTGGGTCTCTTTCACCCACTCTCTCAACTCTTTCTCTCTCTATATCTCTCTCTCTCTCTCTCTCTCTCTCTCTCTCTCTCTCTTTCTCCTTCCCTCTTTCTTCTTTCAATCCTAATCTCTCATTCTCTTTCTTCTCCTCTCCTCTGCTCTCTCTCTCCTTATCTGTCTGTCTGTATGTCTGTCTGTCTGTCTGTCTGTCTGTCTGTCTGTCTGTCTGTCTGTCTGTCTGTCGGTCGGTCGGTCGGTCTGTCGGTCTGTCTGTATGTCTGCCTGTCTGTCTGTCTGTTCAGACACACAGACAGATGGACAGAAAGAGAAAAATGGGCTGTTGATGAGAGTACGAAACTGAAAACAAATGAAAGATGAGAGCAGAAAATGATACATAAATGAGAAACAATTTATTGACTGTGAAGAATAGACTTACTGGAAACTGGAAGAAAAAGGGGGAGAAAGGATTATGGTGGGATGTGTGTGTGGAGAAATTGCATGTTAAGGAAAGAGGATACGCATATTAAAATGGCTTTTCATATGTGTATGTGTGCGTGTGTATGAGTGTGTGCCTGTGTGCGTGCGCCTGTGCGTATGTTAATGTGTGTGTGTGTGTGTGTGTGTGTGTGTGTGTGTGTGTGTGTGTGTGTTTAAGAGAGCGAAACGAGAAAAGAGAGAGAGAGAGAGAGAGAGAGAGAGAGATTGAGAGAGAGATTGAGAGAGAGATTGAGAGAGAGAGAGAGAGATAGAGAGAGGGAGAGAGAGAGAGAGAGAGAGAGAGAGAGAGAGAGAGAGAGAGAGAGAGAGAAAGAGAGATTCCTATTCCTCTTATGTAATATTCTGTCTCCTAAGTTATTAGACTAAAGATCCTACGAGGAAGAAAATTATTCTGCTGAGACATACTGGTGTAAAAATATAGAACCTCAATGATTTAGTGTTTGTATGAGAGGACCCCCCCCCCCTTTTTTTCCCCTGAAATCCACAGAGACTATTCAAATGTCTTGTAGAGTGAGGAAATGGGCGTTCAGAGTCAAGTATGACTTTATGGAACGGTCTTCATTCTGTAAAGGTTGAGAGGCTGAGAAGATGTAAAGTGATGGTATAGAGGAAATAGTAGGACGTCAGGAGAAAAAGAAGACTGAGCTAAGACCTGCACTTCTCCAGCCAAGAAAGGGTTGAGAAGACAATGTATTATAAAGTGATAGTAAGCAAGAGAGAGAAGAACGACAGAAAAGCAGGCCAAAAAACGTTAGGCTTGCAGAGAAAGCAGCAACAACAAAAAAGAATAAGAAGTCCATTGAAATCTAACGCTGTCAGATGGAACTCAGAAGCCCGAACATCATGTGTCTCTACGTGGTAGAGGTGACTTCCAAAGCTGTGGTGTCCTTGGAAACTGCAAATTCACATTAGTTATGCCTTTGATCATCGCTTTTCACTAAAAACCACTCAGGAATAGGTTCTTAAATAGATGGAAAAACGTAGAGCATATAGGAGAGCGATAAAAATTGTCAAACAAGCAGGGAAAAAGTCGGTTTCTTTTGACGAGCGCCTGATTTCAGAACAAAGACACACACATTGCGAAAACATATCCGGTTACACAAGACAAGCCAAAATGTCACAGCGACTCTGGCTTTGAAATTTAGGATTAGCACTGCTGGACTTATTTGTTATTGGTTGTTTGTTCTTTTCGTTTGATTCTGTTTTTGTGTTTTTTTCGTTTTAAAATATTTTTTTATGTTTTAGGAGGGGGGTTGTTTGTTTGTTGTTGTTGTTGTTGTTTGTTTTTGTTTTGTTTTGTTTTGTTTTGTTTTGTTGTTGTTTTGTTGTTGTTGTTTGGTGGGGGGGGGGGTGGGGGGGTGACATGGCCACATGCAAGAGAGGAAAATCAGAAACACAATGCAGAAACAGAGTCGTGCCAATTCTAACAGCCACCTGTCAGACAATGACTGTACAAACGGCAACTTCCCAGTCCCCCCAGTCCCCACCCCTCTTGCCCCCCCCCCCTCTCTCTCTCTCTCTCTCTCTCTCTCTCTCTTTCTCTCTCTCTCTCTCTCTCTCTCTCTCTCTCTCTCTCTCTCTCTCTCTCTCTCTCTCTCTCTCT